ACGCTGCACTTCAAGAATATATGATGAGCAATAAACGTGGATTGCGGTATTAAGTAATATCCTGGGAGTTTGCCCTTCGCGATCCCGAGAAGCTTCAACAGAAAGGTGGCAATGCGCATTAAAAGGCACCAATGACATCCCCTGGGTTTCTTGGCTCCTCAGGCGACAAGAAGCTGAAGTTTCAACTTGACTTAGAGACGAGATATCTATGTGACCAACCTGCAATCATTCTCAAATCAGACATAAGCAACGTTGATGATTCCCCGTATCAACCATCATTTACGCATTCATCCAAATCTATAATGATCTACTGTATATATCTTGCAGTTTCCAAGTTAGGGTCCGTCTGATCGCCCCCGTAACCCTTCAACTAGTTTCAACTTGTGAAGTCTTGTCTGCCCAGCGCACCTCACACAATGGACTGCCAACTTCAACTCAGCTTTCCTCTGGTAGGTGAATTCATCCTCCAGTGCTGACAAATGCTTTGTTCTGTGCTGAAGAAAATCCAGGCAAGTAAAGAATATGAATGTACAGCTCTACAAGCTCAAAGCTAGGCTCACAAGGTGTATGTGGCATGTACAGTACTATACACCGAGCAAGACTTGCCCTTGACTTAGCTTGCTTGGCTCTCTGTGTGCCAACAGGTTTTTCGGCGCGCCTGCTTTTCCGCATTGCACCGGTGCAGGTCGGAGTGTCTCTCATGGCCTTGGAGTGCACAACATCTGTGATAAAAAGACTCCAAATTACTTCAAATATAGAAATGTGAAATGAATGAAATGATTAATATTGATTAATATTGATTAATGATCTTCAAAATTCTTCTGTCTTTGCCTTTGATTTTGCTCTTTCTCATACAATTATCCTTCCGCGCTCTCTGTAGGTCAACTTGGAAAGCTGACGCTTTAGGTGTGCCGCACTCGGAAACCACCTGCCAGGACACAAAAATGTCGAAGGCCGCAGGATCTAAGTAGCTTGGTCATGCTTGGTCTATACTTATGGAATATCGTATCATCTCATCCATGGCTACTGAGCGGCTACTCGTTGTATGCAAACTTAGCAACTCTGTTGCCCATTCCCGAGAAAGTTCTTGACCTCTTACAAACGAAGCAAGGTATCCTCGTACGTGGACCTTGCAGGTCTGCCAAGGAAGAACAAACTATCTCCAACGAATTGCTGCAAAGAAAAAGGGTCCATTTGTGGGTGATCGAACAACGATACAATTGCGAAGTGCAATCCTCCGAAAACATACGAAGGTAAGCCTTGAACAGTGAACAAATGGAATGCATTTTGCTGACTCCCAGTATCTCCCAGTTGCAGGTAGTAATAGGTGGTAGCAAGCTGCGGTTTTGAGACCTTGGCCTTTGTTTGGTGTTGCGGCTGTTGCTTTTGAAGGCGCCTCAGGCATAGAGGCATAGCGTTGAGTCAGGGAGTGTGACACCCAAACCTCCGGTAACCAACAGAGCAAGAGCCCCATACAGCGTAACTGAACCATCGACTGTGTCCGCTTAGATGCCACATGGACTACATATGACTACAGTACCAAATCAATCCAAATCAGGAATCTCCTGCTTGGCTGCTGAGAGGTGGGTCTTGCACATTTTTTCCAGCGGCATGTCAAATACGCACCCATGAACACGATCATACACGATCCAAGCACGCATCAATTCAAGCATTTTCAAAGCATCCCACTTCCTTCGCATCCTTTGCAACCATGGCTTGTCTCAAGAGTCAACGCTGACTTTAAAGCTTTGGAGCTGTGAGGACGTGTTTTTAAATACCAATAAGCAAATCTAAGGAGCCAGGAACTGCAAAGTGCTTGACGGTATGTTGCACCGAGTGTAGCAGGCCAATATGCATGTCTTACACTCCATCCACGAAAATGGTATTCTCAATTTATGTATGTATATATATATATTATTATATAATATATATATATATAACATCAAATGCTTTGAGCCAGCATAAACCAAATGCATCATCCTCATCAAAGTGAAAGCTCTTGAGGCTACTCCACCATGCACAAAAACGAAAGTGACAGCTTCTCCAGTAATTAGTTGTGATTCATTCATTGCAACAGCTTCTAGCGACTCAGATAGGCACACATTCACTGCAAGGTAAAATCTTCAAAGATCTTCTCAGGAATCCTCTCATGCCATGTTTGATTATGTGTGATTGAAGCTCGTTGTATTGAGTTGATACTGGCAACGGTTTTAAAGACTGCATGAGACCGAATCAAACCGTCTGACAAGCAAAATCATCCAAACATGCTGGGGTGACTCACGATTCATGACACTCTCGACACCCCGACTCTCCCTTTGTTCAACCTGTGCAAGACTGGGCGAGTACTTGTTGACACGGCTCAGCGTGGACTTGGACAGGGCCAAGTAGTGCCAAGTCAAGTCACAGGACGCTTCAACTCCCTGGGGTTGCTCTTCGCATCGCCAGACGATCTTACAATTTTGCAAAGACTCGAACACGGTGTTCTGCAAAAATAACAATGTGTCATGTCGTTGACCATCACTGACATACAAAGACTCTTTTTATTGATCAAACTCACATTGGAGTGCTCTCTCTCTCTCTCTCTCTGAGCAACATGCGACCCCTTTCCAGCCGCTCCATCCAGTTGAAATGAAATTTGTTTCGTCGATGCCAAGGATGGACAAGTATGGATCAAAACAGTTTGTGAGGATCCATGAAACTGGTGGAGCGGGGTGTGAAACGGTTGAATATTGGCGCAGCATTTGTATCCACGTGTCAGTATGTTATGCAATCAATCGCCTAGCAAATTCTGGCGCCTGCTTGACTTAGACAACAGAGACCAAATTGATCCCAATTGGCTAGAGAGAAGTAGGGCATGCTGTACACACAAAAGCTGAAGCCATGAAATTAGGCCGCAGGTGTTTCATCATCGGGCTTGCGTGCCTGAGCCAAGACTTGACAAACCAATCAAATGAATCAAGAGAATCAGAGGCAAGATTCAGAATCTAGACCATGGATGACCAAGCTCGTCAATGCGCCATGATGCGCCATGACATGCTCTTGGCTCCCAGCTGTGCGCTTTACACCCCGGGAAGCCTCAGCGGCACAAATGAATGGATATGAAAGGACACCGACCTGTCAATCCATGGACTGAGGGCACTGAAAGGTATTTCAATTTCAAACTCGAAACAAAAAATGCTGATGGAAACTTCGAAAAGCCTTTGGCTCTGCTCAAACTATTTCTTAAGTTTGAGACCTTCAGGAGCTCAAGCACCAAAGGATGCTGGTTTGTGATGATCTCCTGGATACCAACTTCTGACACTTCTGTGTCACTGGACAGAGTATGACACAGCTGCACTGGACGCTGGGTCTCCTCCAGGTTCGCTGTATGTTGAAGCACCTCCTTCCAGTGCTCTTCCAGAAAGTCCCAACAGGCAGCCTATAAACAAAGTAACATGCACAAGATAGTCACAAGATAATCTAATCATTAGCATTGACATCAGAAGCGAAAACCTTGTAGTGGCTGCTACATTTCCCGTTCACAAATGCAATGTCTGCAAACAACATGTTTTGACCGACAGCAAAGCCGGCAGTTGCACCTCCAGGTTGAAAAGAGTTGGTCGCCGGGGGCTCTTTATCTTGGGATGTGGGGCAAATGCAGAATGATCAGAATGAGAAAGATGAGAGAAGACGGCACTAAATATTCACTGCATAGTTACAGAAATAATAGTGTGTCAGAATATGTAAGAATGTGTAAAAATGTAGGAAAAGATGATGGGAAATTGATGGAAAATGACATAAGGATAGCACACAGCGTGTCTTGAATGCTGAGGCTCTGTCGCTGGCGAGGACTGGAATAACAGTAGCACTTCTTAAGGTGCATTCAGAGAGAAAGACCTCCGGGCTTTGAAGCAACACCAAACCTTCTCAGAAATTTGTCAGCAACATCCCTGCTGTATGGAAGTCAGAGGGAGTAGGTTCGAGCAGATTCGAGTTAGATTTGAGTTAGATTTTGATTATGTTGACATATGGCAGTGTGTCAAAACCTTGTACCCCTGTAGTTCACATCAAAATAGCTGGTAAATGGATGTTCATCCCACTAAAAATGGTATTAATAGGTATTGACCCATACCCATATGTAAACTGTGTTTCGGGCATTGGCTGCATTGGAGTCTCACATCGTTTTTTGCACGCCTCACAAAGTCGAGCCAGGCGAGGAAGCAGAAAACGGTCTGCCAAGGTAAAGACCTGCGTGTGGCGAGGTCAAGATCACTGGCATGGCTGAAAGCCATGGCTTTCCAATGCTCCAAACATCTCCAAACATCTCCCCTTAAACATCTCCCCAAACATCTCCAAATGCTCCGTGATCGCCAGCTTTTTTGTCAGCGTGTCTCTGTCAATCATCATCATCATCTCTCCTTCATAGTGTTTGAAAAAGTCAGTGCAAAGGGATTTTTTGCAGCATAAGGCCAGGAGATATTGTCTCAAGAACGATGAACAATCAAAAGACATCGAAAGACTCAAGAGGTATGAAGCCAGTCCTTTTTCCTTTTCCTCGTCCTTTGCCCTTCCATCTGCTCGCATCATCCTCAAAAGAACGTGCAAGCAATACCCATGAAGTGGATCTTTGATAGAATTTTCGAAAATGCACTAAACAAAATTAAACCGTGCACCTCTATCATGTCTGCGACTGTTAGAGACTGACATGAAAGAGAGAAACATGGAGAGGGCGAGAAAAGGGCTTACGGCTTACGGTACCATCGGTACCTGTGCGCCCAGCCTGCCCCTTTGCCTCATCTTCGGGGTCTGGCCTGGATGATGCTTGTAATGCTTGTGCGTGCTTGCAAGCAAGTCTCCAGCTATTCGCATCTATTCGTCGCAATTCTGTCCAAACAGCACGAATGAAGACTTTGAGATGATCTCATTAGCATTCCATGCTTGCATCATCTTGCATCCAGTTTCTGACACAACATGCGCACTTACATCCTTACATCACACAGGACACGCCGCAACCATGCTGCTCGTTGAGGATTTCATTGCACTTCTGCCACTTTGCCCACCTCTTTACGTCCGCTCACTGCTTTCGCAGCAATGCACTCAGCAATGTCTAAGCAATGAAAGACAGAAAGCTTCCGTTGAAACAAACATTGAATCCAACAAAAGGATACAAAAGGGGTCAAGCGGGTGCAGCCTCCCCTTCTTCTGCTCGTTGGCCCTCATGAGGCCGAGCATGCCGCCCCTGCAGGGTTTGTGCTCCGAAGCAAAACCTTTTTGCGAAGTAGAGATCAGTAGAGTGAAATAAGCAGTACTGCACACAATTCCGTCACTTGCCGTTGGACAGAATCGTTGTGACAGCGGAAAGGAGTCACTCATTTACACTCATTTACCTTCTATCAGTCAAGCCGAACCACAACTAGTTTCACATATAATCACACATAGTCAAAGTTCAGTATATCAAAGTACTACAATTGATGCAATAAAAAACACATCCAGGAACCCATCTGGGAACCTACGTTCCCTACGTTCCCTTTGACTTGGCTGCCAACCTGTCCGTAAATTGGGCGTCTGGCACGTCCTGATCTTCTCCAATGCATTTGAACGTCACAGAATGTCACAGAATGTCAAAAGATGTCAGAAGGTTCTGGCCACAAGCCATGGCCCAT